CCTTCCTGGGGCCGCAGCGCTTTAGCGCAGGCCCCGGGAGGCCGGCGAAAGGCCGTAGCGAGGGGGGGAGCTGGGGGTGGGGCTTGCTGCCACCGCTATTTTGCCAGCTCCTGGGTTCCTGGAGCGGTGCTCCGGCGCAGTCCGGCCCCAAAAGACCCCTGGTGAGGTGTATGTAGGAAGGATGCTTCTGTTGGGAAGAAGCAGAGGAGGGGATGCCAAGAGTTGGCAAAAACTAAATGCCTGTGAGCATTCAACTGAGTTTTTCCAAAGACAGAAACGTTTTGGAAGCCAAGCGTGTGAAATCGCTCAGTGCCTGGATAGTCATTCAGGGCTTTCTAAAAAGGAAGAGTAGGGGTTTTCTGCAGGCTTTTCTGTATCACAACGAACATGCACAGGGGCATAAAATGTTATTGTGCCTCATGCTTTATTAAAGTGTCGAGTAAACTCCACAGACTGCCAAATTCACTGCTACAATCAAGCAAAAACAAGATATTTCTCTTTAGAAACATCTCATCTCCATCTGTAGATATCAGCACCTCAGTTGTCAAGGAATGAGCTCACCATATTGCTTACTGTACAGATCCCAGACTACTACAAGTCGCCAGGGCCACAGAATTGCATAAAGACCACAGTATTATTTTCAGATAGTACAGCATAATTTGACAGAAAACTTAGTTAACATTAGTTAAACAGAAACCCAGCAGCAACAAATAACAACAGATTAATTTTGCATAAACTTTTGTGCACGAGAGCGCTCTTCAACAATTCAACAACAATTTCCACACACAAATTTAGCCACCAGCACAACTGCATGGCTTAACACATGAGAAAAGAATTCATACACTCACTTTAGGAATGAGTTTCAAAAACAAAGCAATCATTCAACAAAATGAAACATATTCTCTTTGCTTTGCTTGAAAAGTAACCTTTCATATTTCTGGATATATTTATTTGTATTGTGCTTAAAGAATATTCATTTACTTATACTCTACCTTCCTCCTCAAGAGGGACCCAAAGGGACTGACACTATTCTCCCCTCCACCATTTTATCATCACAACAACCCTATGAGGTAGGCTGGCTGTGTGTGACTGGCCCAAGGTCACCCACGTTACAGTGTACATTTGACCCTGAGTCTCCTCAATCCTAGCTCGACACCGTAACCATTACACCAAACTAACATTAAGAGACAAAACACAGACAGCATGAAGAAGAGGTTGGATTTATACCCCGCCCTTCAGTACCCAAAGGAGTCCCAGAGCGGCTTACAAACTCCTTTCCCTTCCCCTCCCCACAACTGACACCCTGTGAGGTAGGTGGGGCTGAGAGAGCTCTGACAGAAACTGGTCTTTTTAAAGAACAGCTGTGCCAGAACTATGGCTTGCCCAAGGTCATCCAGCAGGTGCAAGTGGAGGAGTGGGGAATCAAACCCGGTTCTCCCAGAGTAGAGTCCGCACACTTAACCACTACACCAAACTGGCTCTCAAAACCCAAAAATATATTTTGTAAACGCCCTTTTGTGATCAGATGAGATGGGAAAAACAATAAGGGAAAAGAGATAAGTGGTATGGTTGTTACCATTGGTAATTTTTACAAAATGCTCAGATTTCAAACGCACAGCCCATAGCAGGCAGGATCCAACACAAACACATGCACTTTGGTCCACTGAAATCAACAGGATCACCAATGTTTAACTTGGCACTGGATTGCAGCCAACACAGAAAAGAGAAGGATCCTACCTGCAAATAGTCATGTGGTCTGTTCAGGAGAAACAATCATCTATTTAACCCATTGAGACCCTGCCCTTCTAATTGGGACCTCCATTCTACCCTCACTCACAACGATCTTATTTATTATTACACTTATATCCCGCCCTCCCTGCGAACGGGCTCAGGGCAGCTTATAAACAGGGGCACCATGTGCCAAATAAAACATTAAAAACAGCATAAAACAACCATATTTAACAATAATAAAGTGCTCAATGATGTTACCAGTTTAGTCAAATCAAGATGGTGACCTATAGGTGTACCCAAAAGCCCGCTTCAAGGGCACCAATCCATCGCAATACTGTAGCTAGATCTTTATACTATAGTTAGATCTTTATGCTGGGCCAACCCATTACCCCATTGTTACCACAAGATAGTTGTTGTTGGTGGTAGTGGCGGCTCCTAATTAAAAGCCTGGCAGAAGAGCTCCGTCTTGCAGGCCCTGCGGGAGCTCATTCCACCAGGTAGGAGCCGCCACTGAAGGTAGGTTAGTCTGAGAGAGCACGCCCGGCCCAAGGTCCCCCAGCAGGCTTCCACCGCAGAGCAGGGATTCGAACCTGGATCTTCCAGATCTCTGTCCGAACCCCTTCTCCAGGTCCTCCAGCCTGCAGGGGTCACTCTCAAAGGAGGGTGGGCGGTTAGCGCCCCTTTACGAGGCGGCGGCTGCCCCAGGAAGCCCAAAACTCACAAGCAAACCGCCCTCTCAGCTGTGGAGTCTCGTTGCGAGCAAAAATCCCACTTTGCGAGCTGCTGGCATGAAAGCGGTGAGCGAGCGGTTTGGCTGCTGGATAAATCACTTTGCCCTGGAGCCCTCCGTCCTGAGCGGAGACCGAAAATGCGCGAGCCAGAGGCTAAGAAACGGTGAGCTGGCTCACACTGACTCAGCTTTTGCCGGTGTTGCCGCCGCCGCCTGCAGCAGGAGGAGTCTGCGCCGCGGCAGAGAAGCCGCCGAGGCGCCGCGCCAAGCCGGCGGCAGAGCCCTCAGCTGCGCCATGACGGGCCGAGGAGGAGGAGGAGAGGATTGTGGGATGCGGGAGGACTGGGAGCCGCCGAGCGTCGCGGGCCACACCGGCCTGCTCGGGCAGGAAGTGAAGGCGGCGTCTCGGCAGAGGAGCCGGAAGCTGGAGCCCGAGGCCGGAGTTGCGGTTGCCAGACCTCGTGGGGCTGCCAACCTCCAGGCGAGGCCCGGGAACCTCCCTCCCCTCCCCGGCCTCATCCACAGCGGACTCCCAGGCGACGGAGATCCGGGCCCCCCCCCCGGATGGAGAAGGCGGCGGTTTTGGACAGAGGCTCTCCGGCGTCTGCGCCCCGCTGAGGCTCTGCTTCCCTTCCCGGTGGTGGGCCCCGAGTCTTCCGGAGCGCCCCAGCCGAGAACTGGCCACCCTGTCGGGGCTTCAAGCCGGGTGTTTTCCACGCGAGGATCAGAACTCCGCTCCAGGAGGCTGCAGCCGTTGCCGCCTCTCCCCAAGCGAAACCGGGGCAAGGTCGCGCTTGGGGAGGAGAAGGGCAGGAGGCTGGGCTGCAGGGGGGCCCCGTGCGGAGGCTTTGGGAAGTGGGGTTCGGTGGGCCTCGCCTCTTCCCTGAGAAAGCACAAGACTTCAGGGACGTGGTGTGGGTTCTTTTTTTCTTTTTGTCATTAACATTTTATTGGTAGAATTAAAACAATAAACCAAATATAACAATGAAAATGTACATAAAGGTCATAAGAACAGTTAAACGTTCAAACCAATACACTAATTACAAAAAAGATAAAAATAAAAATGTAAGCTTTAAAGAGTGAGACATTCTTCAATAAACCTTTGAACAAAGTAACTTGTTTTAGCCTCAATTTGTAATTGATGCCTGTACCGTTTGTTGCTTTAGATACAACCAAGTGTCTTTTGCCATCAAGATTATCTGTAGCCATTCAGTGATATATCTAACCATGTTAATCACCAAGTACTACCCACAAATCAAGTTTTACCAAAGCCTACTTACTATACTTTAGTTGAACCATAAATAAGTCCTCACAACCATTTAACATAGTTATCCCAGGATGCTGAGGTCTGACAAGGCAAAGTCCCGAGTCCAGAGCCGGCACCTTTAAGATCAACGGGAGTTCAATTCCACGTATCAGCTTTCGTGTGCATCTGTGCATGCAGACAAAAGCTGATGCCCAGAATTGAACTCTTGTTGGTCTGAAAGGTGCCGCCACTGGACTCGGGACTTTGTCCTGTTGCTTCAGAGGCACACGGCGACCCACCAGAGTCCGCCTTTGAGAGGGTTAGGGTCTGAACAGTGCCACCTTCTGGAATATCCGAAGAAGTGAACAATGACTCACAACAGCTGATACCCTGCCACAGATGTTGTTAGTTTTTAAGGTGCTACTGGACTCTTTGTTCTTTTCCACTGCTACAGACTAATCTTCGACTACCTTCTGGAATAGCTCAGATGATATACAAACCTTATTGTGCAATCCCAGTGGTTCCTAAAAGTGCTCCACACATCATATCCTTATGTTTTACTTAAATTGTTTTATTATTTATGAATGCTTTTATTTCTTGCTGTGTACCACCCTGAGCCCTGTGTACTCAGGGGAGGGTGGTTTATAAATTCAGATTATAAATAAATATAATATAAATATGTTGACGTGCTATCAGTCTGAGAACAGTAAATGAATGGTGCTTCATAATTATATTGGCAGGCAATAGATTTGGTCCAAAGTCCATTTCTGCTATCACCTGTTTTAAAAAGAGCAGTTTGGAAGGCCAATAAACAATTGTCTGTTAAATGTGATTTGCCATAATGTATTATATTAATTGTTTTCCTAATATTATCACTGATATCACTTTTAGGTATGAAACCAGTTTGATTTAAATGAATATATTGATCTATTATTTGATTGAGTCTTGAGGTAATAACAGTAGTGAAAATTTTGTAATCACTATTCAAGAGTGAAATTGGCCCATATGATTTAGTACTTTGAGGATCTCTCTCCTTCTTATGCAAAAGTATAATCTTTGCCTCATCCCATGTAGATGGTTTAATTCCTTGTTCTAATACTAGGTTACAAAGTTTAGTTAGTGGTGTAACTAAGAGATGCTCATATTTCTTATAAAATTCGGCAGGAAGGCCGTCTCTACCAGGACATTTATTTATTTTTAAATGTGAAATTGCGGCCTATACTGCCTTTTCAGAGATTGGCTCCTCCATAAAATCTTTATGGGTCTGAGTAAGTTGCTTAACCAAGTGATTTTTCCTAAAGTAATCCAGTATATCTGAACCTAAAGGTACATCAGATTTGTATAAATTCTTATAATAGTCTAAAAATGTTTCCATAATTCCCATTGGAGTAAATTCTATATTTCCATCTATTTTCTTAATAGAAGTAATAGTCTTTTTTGCTTGCTGTTCTTTTATTTTCCATGCCAGAAGTTTTAGTGATCTACCATAGGATGTCTATACCAGTACTTTTGTTTAAGGTACATTATATTTTTCTGAATTTGCGTTGTTTCAAATGCCTGAAGTTTTTTACGGTCTATAAGAAGATGCTGATAGTTTTTCTTAGAACCTGTAGCTTTATGTTTATCTTCTAATATTTTTATCTAATATTTCCTCTTTCATAATGTTTTTATTTTTGTTATAAAATGAAGTTACTAAAATAAATTTGCCACAGATTACAGCTTTCATAGCATCCAAGATTAAACCTTCTGAAACTTCACTTGTAGAGTTCAATCTAAAGTATTCTTGTATCTCTTTATCAATTTGATCAACTATAGGTTGATTGAATAATAACCTTGTATTTAAAGACCATGTTCTTATGCTTTTTTCTTTTCTTAAAACACTAAATATATACTCGGTCCATGCATGGTTAAATAGTGTACGAAGACCAATATCTGTGTGTAATGTTT